TCACACAATAGGGAACCCCTTCCCCAACCCTTCCATTGTTATATGACAATGACATTGTTATATGACAATAACATTGTTATTGACACCACCCCCCGTCTGGCGGCATCCCTTTGGACGCCAGACGGGGTGGGGGGGAATCTCTCTTAGAGGGACGGCTCTGATTGGTCCGAGTCGGGCGTGCAAGGTCGCGTTCTGATTGGTCCTTCCAGCACGAGTTGATCTCTCACTCTCTCTCCGCTCGGGACCGTAAGTTGGAGTCATTCCCCCGTCTCTTCTCCCCCAAGCACTTCTGACACGAGTCGCATGTTTCAGAGTGCCGGATTTTCGCGATTTCATGCAGATTCAGTACAGATTCCATTCTGATTCGGTTCCTGTGCCACTCAGTTACACGCCAGGACATTGAGTGCACTAAAAATATCAATCTCGACCAAGGCCATGAGCATCATGAACAGCTTCGTGAACGACATCTTCGAGCGCATCGCTGCCGAGGCCTCCGATCTCGCCCGCTACAACAAAAGATCCACCATCACCATTCGGGAGATCCAGACCGCCGTCCGACTCTTCCTGCCCAGAGAACTGGCAAAGCACGTCAGTGCTTGGCCAGTCTCTTCAAAAGCTCTTCCAAATGGTCTAATTTGGAAGAGCTTTTGAAAGGTCTCGCACGTGCGTTCCTGAGTTCGAGATCGACTTGATCTATGAGGACCAATCAGACTAGGGTCCGTTTGGTCCTCCTTGTTCCTCCTCCTGGACCCTCCTCCTGAAGAGGAGGGAGGATGAGGAGTTTAGCCTCCAGGCTAAACGACCTTCATCAGGGCCAACCATTCCTTTCCAGAGGACAGATCCTGGGATCGATGTGTGTCTGCTTTATGTTTCAAAAATGGATATGAAAAGGTGGAGAAAGATGAAGGGAAAATGAAGGCAATGGGAGAGACTGAAAAAAAAACGAGATAGAAAAGGAAATGGATGGACGAGCTTTCTCCTTATTCATTTCATTTCCTTCGTAAAATTAATTAAAACATCCTTATTGGATCATGCAAGTGTTGAGGTGAGAGGGAGGAGTGGGATGCGTTCAGACAAGAAGGAAAACGAAAAGCAAGGAATCCGTGGGAGAAAGTTTGATGACGTCAAGGGCAGGAAGAAGAAAAGGAAAAAAATGGGTGTATTCAGGTCGAACTGGAGCTCTTACAAAAGAGACCATTTGAATGGTCTCATTAGTAAGAGCTTTTGGAAGGTTCTCCCCCAATTCTCTTCTCTGAATCTTGCTTTTTGAAGGTATGGATTTCATTCTTTCTGCACCCCCCATCTTGCATGGCCTCTCCTGGCGGTTTTCAGAGGAAAGAGACCAACCATAAGCAAGACATTGGCCCATATGAATACAATTGAGCTGGAGCTTGGGGTCAGCAAAATTGGAGCCACAGCTCCATATTTTATGAATAAAACACACGAAGCCTAAGCTCCTTGAGCTGCTGCTCCATTTCTAAGAGCTCTAGCTCCCTTCTCCGTGAAAGACGGCATTTCTTATGAATAAATGGGAGTTTTGTCTCAGTCCTAGAGTAAGAGCTCGTAATATTCGGAATCTGCCAGGGGGCAGAATCAGCTAAGAAGACTCCTTGCTGATATGTGATCGATGATGACATGTGATAACGCCAGGGTGCAGTTTTCATTTTATTGATCCATAATGGCAACAAAAATGCCCCCTGTGAAATACATTGTCTGCATTTTCTGATTCCGTTGCCTAAGAATTCCTCTCTAACATGTTACCATCATGTAACATGTAACATGTTACATGGTTACCTTCTATTAGCGAGTTTTTTTGCCCGAAGGGCAAACAAACTCCCAATGGAGCGCCTTCGGCGCTCCATTACCTTGGATAGTGATTAATTCATTAATTTTTTGCGGAATGGGAAACACGTATTTAAAGTACGTCCCCATTGAAATACTTGACATATAGGGACGCAAATTCTTGATTTTTATAAAAATCATTACTTCAATTATTTCTTTTGTGCCTAACTTAAAATGTTTTCATGTGTCCCTTTTTGTAAGGGTGGAGAATACATTTTGAAATACTTCCCTCCTATAATCTACGCTAAGGACACATGTTTCAAAAGTAGGATTTTTCCTGTACTCAGCCATGAAACAGGTACTTCTGTGGGAAGTTAAAATTATCTTTCTCTTTTTTGTTGGATCAAAAAAAAATTCAGGAAAATTCTGACCGAAAAAAAGGGCCCTGATGGGTTTTAGCGAAATTTTTTTCCTTCTGAAATGTAGACTCAGGGAACCCAGTTTAGCCCTCATACGTTTCCTCTTTTTGCTGGCGGAAAAAAATTGTTTTGGAAAGGCGGCCCACCCGAAACTGTGCTCCGAGGAGACGCACAACAAAAGTTGAATTTTTCCTTAAATTAACATCACGTCCATTATGCTTGCTCCAGCTGCTACTTTTCTATTTCTGCCCGATTCGTTAGGATATGAAAAATTATTTGAAAATGTTACGTCTCCAAGAAATCTGAACACCAAAAATATTTTGGAAATTTAACATTTGACATTTCAGCTCAGTGTGTCAGCAGTCACGTTCTTGCCAAGTTTCAGCTTTCCATGAGTCTCCGTTTGATTGAAGCAAAGAGAACTATTTGAAAATATGTTCCCCGAGAAGGTGTGCCCCTTTGGCATGTATCATCAAAGTATAATTTTTCCTCAACTCAGCATGCGACTGATGTCAGTCAGCTACTCACGAACGTTTTTATATAATAAAAGAAGATTTTTTCATTTACTCAGCTATACATCAGGTTCTTCTTTGCTACGTTTAAACTTTTTAGCGCCCTCTGTTTTGCTGGATCAGAAATTCGAGAAAATACGCCCGTTGCAATATATGTGCCTTGAGGCGTTTTAACCAAAAAGTAACTTTTTTTTTACCGAAATCAATCCTTAGAGAACTGCATGTCTACAAAGTTTCAACCTCATACGTTTGCCCTTTTCGCTGGTGAAAAAAAAATGTTTGGAAAGGCCGACGCACCCAAAAGCTATGCCCGGAGTGGATGCACCATGATAGCTGAATACTCCCTCAACTCAATAATACCATGTCACTTATACGTGTGCCAAGTTTCACCTTCCCATTTCCATATTTCCACATTTTTCTTTAACTCCTCTCATTCATGCAAAGTTACAGATTTCCATGTTAATCAATTTAACTAATGCAAAAAAATTATTTGAAAAAATCTCCCGTTGAAATTTCCGCCCCTGGGGCATTTACTTCCAACGCCGGATTTTTTCTGTACGCAGCATCCCAATAGGTAGTTATGTATCAAGTTTCATCTTTCCACACCAGCTCAATACGCCAGAGCAAAAGAAAAATACTTAAAAAATGTCGTCCCCTAAAAACATGCCCCCATAGGGCATGGAACTAAAAATAAACATTTTTCCTGATCTCATTATCTCGGTAGGCACGTCCACTCCAAGTTTCAACTTTCCATGTCTCTCCGTTTTACTAAAGCAAAAATGTTGTTACTGAAGGGAAATGAGTAACTCGGCTTAGAAGGCATAAGAGTCCGAAAAAAAGGCAAGGTGCGGCAGGGAATTGAAACAGGGCCTCCTGTTTGCCGGTCAGTCGTGCTACCACTACACCACCGAGGCGAGGAGATCCAATTAAGCCTCTCGATGCCACCATAATCCGTCACAATATACCCCTATCTTTAAAATCTTCTCTCCCCCAAAATGTGTACCCCCAGGGCATGTACCTCGAAAGTCAGATTTTTTCTGAACTCTGCATCCCAAAAGGTACATGTGTACCAAGTTTCATCCCCAGGGCATGTACCTCGAAAGTCAGATTTATTCTGAACTCTGCATCCCAAAAGGTACATGTGTACCAAGTTTCAGATTTCTAACCTTTCTGGAACATGGTTAGAATTAACGTCGGTCAGTCACGATCGTCTATATATATTAGATGCTCTGGATACAATTCCTCCCCTGTCTAGTAAGTTCTAATTCTAATTCTACTTTAAGAATCCGACACATGTGCGAATATTTTTTTCATCCACTTGGGGAAAACCTGTTTCAAATAATTTCTAGAAAATTCCGGACCAACAGTGTGATGTAGAGAGGGAGTTTCAAGTGCATGAGTTGTATATGGCATTAGGATTTCATAGTGTTTCATATCCTCCTGATAATACAAAACTTCCTTCGTTGCATGAACGTTGATCTTGTGGAGGGAAACCATGATGTACAGTTTTTGACCTGAATCGTAGAGTCCGACTTACCTCTGAAATCCCGCAAAAGTGTGTTCTCCTAGTAAAACGGGATTCAGAGTTTTGATTCCCAAAAGTGGAAGTCCTTTCATGTGGACTGCCCTGGCAGATACTGGGAAAATGAAGAACAGGATAGTTTGTTCTCTCCGTTTGGTGAAGTACTTGCTATTAAATTCTGCAAGCCTTGCCTCACACAGAGGAATCAAGTTTTCATGGTTCTGGCCGCCAATTCTTGATAAGTACTTGATAAGTTACTCCTAATGCGATTTCGGGCAACTCAGCTTTTTTCCCGTCCCTTCTAATTGAGAGAGAAGGGACGAGAGTGAAAGAGATGGACGAGAGCGAGGAAAGCTCAGAATTATTGGAGTTTGAGCTCCAAAATGTGGAGCTCAAGCTCCGAGCTTGAGCGAAACTTTATTCATTTTAAACGGAGGAAAGGCTCAGACTCAGCTCAAGCTCTGACTCCAAGCCCTGAGCTAGGGCTCAGGTTTTATTCATACTGCCTGTTGACTTTTGATCAAAAAAAGGGCCCTTCTGATTGGAATGCACCATTTCGCCCTAAAAACGAAATTAATTGCCTTCATTAAGGCTTAGCATGTTGGCTCCTGTCCCCCAGCATTGCCAGATATCATGCAGGAGTAATGTCAAATGCGTTATTGCTTTGCTCTACCTGTGTCTGGATTTTTGAGCTGAGTTCATGAAATGAGCTGAGATTTGAAACTGGTTAGCAGTGATATGGAGATATCTTAGACATCCATGCTTCTAATTACGACTTCCAAATTATGTAGAACACTTTGTAGACAAATTCAAGATTCTCGAAACCCCACTTAAAAAAGTCAAAATACCCCAGGTATCATTCGATATGGTACGATCTTGCAGTACTTTTCCCAATCTCTTCCATACTTCTTCAAGCATTTTTCATCATCACGATAGAGTCGATGGGTGTGGAAGATTGTGTTGAAGATGTTATAGGAGAAGGGGAAAATCCCATGGTGGTAACCCACCAGATTCGCACAGAGGCAGTATAGATTGTTAAAAAGGTAATGAAAGTGCCTGGCCTTTCCCCAAAATCCAGAAATGAGGAGCTTCCCAGTCTTTTTCCCCTCTGGAGTATCATATTCTGTTTTGATGTACTTGGCCGGTTTCCCATTAATAAGGCAGTCTCCATTAGTGTCCTGAAACAACGTTTTCTGGCCATCCATAATGTATTCCAACAGTTGGAAGACTATACCCATGGCAAAAAGGAGCCAGGCAAATGTGTTTGATACTCCAGGCGGAAAAGCAACGAAGAAATATGAAGAGTAAAGGGTGAGCCCTGGGATGTAGGTGAGACTCCCACACACCATGTAATATCCAGCACGATCCATGGTAAAGTCAAGCGTTCGAGTCACATAAATGTGTTCCCATGCATAG